GTGTGTGTGTGTGTGTGTGTGTGTGTGTGTGTGTGTGTGTGTGTGTGTGTGTGTGTGTGTGTGTGTTCGTGTGCACGCGTGTGCGCGATGGGGCGAGCAAAGATGATGTGTTCACATTCGCTCGCGCAGTGAACGTGTTGAGTTGCAAGTGGCGGGGTTGAAAACGTGCATGCATGCGTTGCCAGCATGCCAAGAGACTGCACAGGAACGCCAGGGCCGTGAGCCTCATTGATGTGCGCGTCGTGGCGCACAGGGCTTACCGTACAAAGCCTCTCCTAGGCAAACGACCCTAGGACTGCCACCGCCACCCGCCGGCGGCGCCGCACGGGGGGCCGGCGCCGCTGACCGGCGAGCGCCGCTGCTTGTCCTCAGGCGGGGCGCAGGCGTGACCGGTCGCCGCGGCACGCGCACACCGGCGCCTGCTTGCAGGCGCGAATGACCAGGAATCAAGGCCACCATCCTTTGTCTCGCCGCTGCAAAGGAACGAGAGAGGCCGCGGGATGATCACTTGTCTACGTAGACGCTGAGCGATCCAGATCAAGAGATATGCGCTAAATTAGCTCAAGGTAACCACTGTCAAGTTGCCGGCTGTGATACCGGCGTCTTTACGATTTCGAGGGCAGGTGGAGTCCGCAGCTGCCACCTGATGTGTCATTGCTCCAAGGGTGCCTACGAGCGCCAACGGTGTGCTCGCCGCCCGAACTTGAGGTATTGAGTATGCCTGATGCACAGCTTACTGACGAGGGCGCCTTGTCAATGTGACAAAGATCACCTGAATTGGCGGGCATTCAACCGAGCGGGTGATCAGCGGTGACACGCGGTGTCATTGATAGAAGATGAGCCCATCATCTGAGTCTGGCGGTCGCCGTTCAGCGCGCTTGTCCGCCAAGCGGCGCGCCGAAGCGAGCGAATCTGCCAGCGATGGCACTGCAGCAGGGCTCGAGGCAGCGGCGCCTCCGCCAGGCGTGGCTGTGCGAAAGACCAATGATAACAGCAAGCGGCGCGGGCGACCGGTCAAACGCGCTGCTGGCGCAGCGGACCGCAAGCTCGCCAATGCGGCAACTGCGGCCGCGCCCAGCGCGTCGACGGGCAAGCGCAGCCGCGCCGCGCCCGCCGACGCGGCCGCGGGCGCCGTGGCGCCGCCCCCCGCCAAGCGCCGCCGCCCCTCCGCGCCCGTCCCCAAGCGCCCCTCCCCTGCGCCCGGCCCCGGCCCGACGCGGGAGCGCGAGCGACGGCTACGGGCGCGCGGCTTCCCTGCAGTCGCCGGCGTCGACGAGGCAGGCCGGGGGCCGCTGGCGGGGCCGGTTGTGGCGGCGGCGTGCGTCCTGCCTGATGACATTGAATTCCCCGGCCTGAACGACAGCAAGAAGCTGTCAGAGGAGGAGAGGGAGGCGCTCTACGCCCAGATCACCGCCGCGCCGGGCGTCGCGTGGGCCGCGTGAGCTCCCACTCTGCGGTGCACCTCCTTATCTTCCGGCTCAGGGCGGCCGCGGCCCGGGGCAAAAATAGTCCGAGTTGGAACTGGCGGAGGCCGCCAACTGCAGCTGCCGACGCATAGCCACTGCCAGGGTCCCCCCTGTTGCACCGACGTGACAGCCCCTAAAACCTCGCGGGCGGCGCCTCCGCGCAGGTGCGTCGTGGAGCGTGACGTCATCGACTCGATCAACATACTGC